TGCTGGGTGGTCGTCGGGGGGCTGGGAAGCCGGGTTAGGACCGCGCACCGGACCCCAGGGAGTGGTGGCCGTCGGGGGGGGGAGGGGGCGGGCGCGAGTGCGGAGAGCTGTGCTTATCTTTAGTCTCCATCTGGAGGCCAGCGGGCTCGCATCTTTCCGGGATTCGGCTGCCAATACTGTCTTTTGGAGCAGAGGGTAGGGGAGTGTCGGGGATCGCGTTGCCCTGGAAGACTCGGGACCTTCCCCTAGCCCCACCCCCATCAGACAGTGGCCTGCAAGAGCGGTCTGCGGAGTATTGGCCTCCCTGTCATTCTTTCCGGGGACACTCCGCTCCACCGCGGTGGGAGAGGAAGGAGGGGAGTGGGAGGGGCCTAGCAAGGCTAAGGGTGAGTGTTTTAACTCGATTATCCTCTCTCCCTTTTCTTTAGGAGCATTTTTTCCTCTGGGATCTGTCCTGGACTTCTCAGGTTGCGAGAACTTGTTGACATTTGAAAGCTTGTAAGAGCCCGGGTTCGGTTGTGTGTGTCTGTTTATTTTTTACAAAGTGACTCCTCCTATTTACCCTAGACCTTGTCTGTGCCCCTTTGGGAGACCTCAGCTCTGATCAGAGCGCTGACAGCGACCGTCCCGGCTTCTGGAAAACCGGGCGCGCCCTTTGGGGGGCGAGTAGCTGTTCCCTGCTAATTTCCTTCGTAACCTTTAAACTCTCGCTGGAAGCCGCGACGGTGGCTGGTCACGTGAGGCGAACCCAGGGCTGCTGGGGAAGAATTTCCTCCGCCGGGAGCCGGACCGGGAAGGCGGCCGGGCCAGGGACAGCCCAGCGCGGGAGGATTGGGACTCTGAGAGGGCGGGGCAATGAGCTCGTAGGCCCCCGGGCGCGGGCCAGCTGGAATGCCGGTGAGGACTGCACAGGAAAGAGGTCATCTCTGTAACCTGGGAGCTGGAGGTTGTGCCATTGGAAAAAGAAAACCTCCGCCCTCACCCGTGTGCCAGTCAAGTCGGGGAGGTGAAAGGATCCTGGTAGGCTGAGTGTTTATCTGGCGGGTCTGGTGAGTGTAAACGAAAATTTAAAAACTGCCTCCTAACCACTTTTTCTCCCTGGAAAAAGGTTTTCACTGCCTGTGGCTTAATGGCTTAAAAAGGCTTAAAGGAAAGGAAGGAGGCAGTCCCCTACAACAGCAGGGTATCTAGTGCTCCTCACAAGTCCCAGAAGTGATCAGAAAAGTCCCAAGGCCATTGTGACAGATCATCTCTCTTAGGCAAAGTCGATGTCTACAGTCTCTCAAGGGGCTTACAAGTTAATTTCTCAGGGCCTGCCCTGTTGAATGTGGCAGTAGAGAATGTGCTAAAATGCAATCTTAGGGACAATTGAGATAGTTCACCCTTAAAATGTCAGGATTTAAAAGTGGGGCCTTATATGTCCACTCCCACAAGCTACAGGTATATTTTTAAATGTCAGTTGGGCAAAGCACAGCTCACTACTGTTTAATATTTCTTTGATCATTAGAACGGTTTCCTCCTTGCTCCTTAATTCCACCATTCTGTTTTTATTAAGCTTTTTTATTAAGCATTCCTCCTTACCCCCATCACAGGGAATGTGCTGGAAGGCAATGGCAAATAGGATTTGATCTTCTGAAAAATGAAGTTTTCAGAAGAAGCACAAAAGTGAGATGAGTGAAATAATTTTCAAAGAGGCAAAATTTAGAGGTTACGTAATCAAGATAAGCGATATTTTAAAGAATAAAAGGTAATGTGAACTCCACAATGAATATAATATTCAAATTTTAAATAATCTTAAATATTGCAGGAAAATATTTTTTATCTCATTGAGTTTATTGGCATCTTTTACATTTTATTTTGGAGCCGAGACCTTCATTTGTCCCACTCCAGTCTCAGCCCTATTAGAAAGTCTAGAAAGTGAAGTCTTTCATGAAGTAAGGGATCCTTGTCTAAGGGGTGTTTCACACCTTCTCTATTTGATCTGGATGGGTCGTTTCTTACATGCAAACAGAAATAAATAAGATCGAAAACCACTGACCTAAATCCCTCTTCTTTAATGTGTGAAACAGGAAATAAGTTTAGAATTAAGGACACACTGAGCTGAAGCTTTCTGTATGATATCATATTCCCACCTCACCCCAGGTAAGAACCCCAAATATATTAACTAGGATCTGTTTCTATCTCAGTGATTGTCTTAAAACAGACAACCTACAAACTTCCGACACCCTTTCCTCAAGTCTTGCAGATTATAGGAAGGCAACCTCTGCCTCTTAGAAAGTTGACTCTTACATCATGTGCATAATCACACTGCAATTTTCAGAAGCAACCAGTTCCAATCGCCTCTCCAGTACAAGTCTTTCAGGGGGTACTAACACACCTTGCCAAACAAAACGCCTGTTTAGATTGGATGGCTGTTTACATAAAAAGGAAGAATACTGGTACACTCCATTCAAGCATTGCTCGTTTCCTGTCCTTATACATCTTTATTCCCAGACAAATCCTTCACCTTCCTTCTCTCAAACTGGGCCAAATGAAATCATATGGATTCCAGAGGGCATCACGGAGATGCCAGACTTGAGCTTATTTATAATTACCTGAGGAGAAAGTGACTCTAAAATAATCCCCCACCCTAGCCTTCCTGGGAGGTGAGGAAGCCCTTGCAGGTAGAAGGTTTACAATATAAAATTCCAGTGTGTAATTATACCTATTTCAACCTTCTCTTGGCTTCTGTATATAGTCTTGAAAGATAAAACAGTATGACTGGTGTATACTTTGACTACAATGTCCTTTGGATTTCCACTGTGGCTTAGTTATTTTGTACTCTTTGGGAAAGAGAAAAGAAAAAATTATAAAGGGATTTGAATAAGATGATCAACATAGGGCTCCTCTCCTTTTAAAATTAGGGATCATGGGAAGAGGACTGATAGAGCAACGAACACCCCCAGAGCTTGTGAGCAGTGTTGCAGTAGTCTCACCCTGGGAGCAGCACAGAGGTCTGATCAACTCTCTTTCTGGAGAACCCTGGAAAAACATCACTCAGCAGAGTGGTATCAGCTGAGTCTAGGCTTTCCAATAAAAGTTCCTCCAGCAGCAAAGAGGAAGGGAAAGGGAGCTGGAGGCAAAGGAACAGAGTATGCCACATACAGGTAGGAAAGATCATGGCAATGTGGGGCAAGCAAGTGACCCGGTGTGCCTGGCATGGAGCAGGTAGTAACAGGAGATGAAGTAGGTTGCAACCTGATAGTTAGGGCCTCATAGGGCTTGCAGATGGGCTTGAACTTTTTCCTGGAGAGACACCGAATGTTCTAGTAGGCAAGCAGCATACCTGGAATTAATTCTTTAAAAAGGCAATTTTATAACAGATGGACATTTTTTTCTTTTAAAAATTCTCCCCAGAAAATTCACCTTAAAACCAAGTGTTCAAGAGAAGCTCCAAGTCTGAAGATGGTTTACACTCTGATCAAAAATGAAAAAGTCCATGGATGTTGTTTAGATTGGCTACAGGAAGCAGGGCTGGGGAGCCAGAACCTCCGACTAGCATGTTAATATTCATGTCCTTGTTGCTGTGCTAGTTGTTGCCATTTATAGAATGTTAATGGGTTTCTTCAAAGATCTGCCTTGTCAGGGTCTATCATGCACTCCACACATGCTCACTTGAACAGAACTCAACCACTTGGCCACAGGATGGAATGCACAGCAGCACAGTGACACAGAAACCTTCTAGACCTCTGCCAGCCGCCCCAGCACAGCCCCACTCAACTCCCAAAACCATTTCTGTCTTTGCTCCAGGCCTCCCCTACTGTTGCTTACTCTTAGGTTTTTCTTTTCTTATTTTGTCAGAGGGGACCAGAGAAAGAGAGACAGAAAGAGAGAGAGAAGGTGAAAGCATCCCCTAATGGGGCATGGTCACACTGCAGTGCCCTCTTCTGCATTCC